GGCGCTGAGAACAGGGTATCTACCAGGCAGGCACTCCCGACTAGAGCTTGCTTGTCTTAAATTCGTATTATTTCGATTTTGTCTTGGCCAGCTGCATTGCCAAGGCCCGTTGACATTTTGCAACGTGAATGCCACAAAACGAAACGAGTTACGCACGCTTACGCACGGTTCCGTTATGAATGAAATGTGGCGCCTGCGTGCAAAGATTGTTGTCGCATTTTTGTCATTCGTTTGGCAGCTTGGCCCCAGTCAATGGAGAGACCCGGAGACACGCGCCAAGGCAAGGCAGCATTCTCCGCTGCAGTCTGCGTGTGAAACTGGCCACAACAAGTTACAAACTGTGTAAAAATGTCATGTGCGTAGTTCACGTTGCAATTATGTGCATATATCTAAAGCATAAACTAGCTTTCAGCTGTAATAAATTAATTACAGGTTTTCGTTTCAGTTTAACAAAATACCAGGAAATTAAGCTGTTGTTAATCAGGGCAATTGCAACTTTATATATATATAAAGATATTCTTAGCATGGATAACTGGAACTTTGTGCATAAGCTTAAGCTCTTGCATAAAATATTCAATTTTTCTAGATCTCAAGATCTAATCAACAAGTTTGTAGACTACTTTTAGTATAATTTGGATTACTTTACATATAGGTCGAACTTAAAGTATGAACTGCAATTGGACTGATTAAAATGAAGCCTCAATATTAATATATAGAATTATAGAAGAAAGTAGAAGCCATTAAAAACTAAAGAAAATGTACAGCAAACGTATTCCTGTTTTGTATAATAACATAAGCAGATTATTAAATAGGAAGCGGTCTGTTCTTATTTAATATCTAAATAGCGTACTAGGTAATAAAAGCTATTACTGTCTATAACAAATATTTATCTAACTAAATTTAGAATTGAAAGTTGTATAGTTACGATTATATTACATGGCTGCAAGCTCAGAAAATAATTGGGACTGGTTCAGTTCAATCAATTCCTCGCTTTAGGTTCACATGATTAATGTCAATATAAATAAAATATATATAATATAAAATAAATATATGACAATTTAATTTAACATTTCGCACCACTAATAAAGTAAGCGCCATTAAAAAGCTTGCAAATGTATTTCTTAGTTGAATAAAAACAATTTAATATGTCTGCTACTTGGGGAATTGATTTGGTTCAAAGATCGATTCTGAGTACAAAATAAATTGAAGACCGCGTTCGAGCTGATTCGCTTTAATGCCAGGATTTAAGTTGTTGTTGTTGTTGCATAACTGGCACCATTTTGGGGCTGCAGCCACCCACTCGCCAGCTAATGCTACACATATGCCCACTGTTAGTTAATGCAAAATGGCATATGCATTAAGTTCATTATGGGTTACAGGGTATTTACGACACCTAAGTGCATAAAATTACACATTTTAAGGCATCAAATGGCAAAGACAGCACAGCACAGCAGAAATACACTCCACTCCACATATGCCACACGTAAGTACGCTAATGGCCTTGTCAATGCCGTTGCATGCCTTGAGAATTCACATTCACAACAACAACAACCAACAACAACAACCAACACCTTTGTAGACAATAAAAATCGCGCATATTTGGTGCAGCGCCACGAAAAAGCAACAACAACAAAAATACAAAACAATTGCAATTGTTTTTTTTTTCCATTTATTTTTTTTTTTTTTTGGCTGTTGCATGCACCTCCATTGTGCGGCATGAGAATTTGACTAAGGATTGTGGCTGCATGTGAGAAATGGCAATTGCCTCCCGTCCCGTCCCCGGTGGCAGCCGAAAAGCCTGCGCAATTTTAGTGCATTAAGATTTCAGTTTATTTATAACAAGCCAAAAAAATATTAATTAATTCTCAGCGATTTCAGTGTGGGGCTTGTATTTACTTTTAATTGGCATTTATTTTTGAAAGTGCCATTAGGGGGCGAGTTTAACAACTGCATTAACTCAATTAACGGCTCGCTCACATGTATTTAACTATTTGATTAGTTTGCTTTTACTTTCGTCGGACTTTGAATAATTAATCCCAAATGTGCTGAGCCGACCTTGACTTTACCTCTAGCTGACTAACCACTATCGAGTCTTGGTAAAATTGTAAGCACTTTATGCTTAATTAACTTAAATTAAATTACCTTTTCGCTGGGGTGCTGGGCATGTAAACATACATTTTTTATACCCTTGTTTTTCATTGTATAATTTATAATTCGGTTGGGGCCGTCATCTCAAGATCGTTTAGTAGCCCGTGAAAAATGCGCAATTCGACACGCCAGCTTATGATGATTAATTGTTTAAATAAATATTTTAAATATGCTAGTTTTACAAGTTCCTATTCAACTCTAGAGGCTTCAATTAGGCTTATATTTATTGGTTTTTTATTTTCTCATGTCAATCTCTTGTCAGCAACATGCAAAAACGTCTGGCAACGCCGAGTCTATAAGTTGGTCTAACGAGTTTAACAGTGCTGCCATGTGTGCAACTTTAAAGCGAGTGGCAACGCCGCACTTGCAACCAGCTGGCAAATATTAAACTGGTAGCTAAACTGTCTTGTAAGTTCTAGTTAGAGTCAGCTAAGTTAAATGTAACATAATAAAATAAAATCGAGTTTGACAACAAGTTCAAATGCTTGCTTAATTTGTCAGCAACTTAACATAACTAATTAAGCAATCATTTTTAGTGCAATCAATTGTTACAGATATGTGTGAGAAACTTGTTTATTCGCTGTGATTACAAATTGATTCGCTTGTTTTATAATTCTATAAATCAGAAAGCCAGATCAAAGTCGGGCAAGCAAACAATTTGACGCCGCATGTAAGCCGAAGCATATACTAATCAGCTCTAATTACCAATTTGCATTTGCATTCGCATAAAACTAAGAAATTAAATGCAGCATGAATCACTTGAGAATAGAAAACCATTTGCTGCCGCTGGCCAAGTGGCTGGGAAGGGGCTTTGATTTTCCATCGTAAAACTAGCCAAATTGCATTCGTGTCAACGCGTTAACAGAGCACAAATGTGAGGCACAGGCGAAGGTCAACAGCGCCGGTGATCGGTCAACTGCGTCAGCGGCTGACAGGCGGGGCCGAACGCTAAGCTTTAGCTGCGACCGGGTTCTAAGCAGTGTTGCCAGCCGCTGCTTCAAAAAAAAAGTGGCTAAATCTAGTGTTGATAATAGCTAAAAAGTGCCGGAATTAATTAGTAAAGTGGTCAAGCAGACTTCCTTGGCGCAGTTACGTTTAAAGCAGTTCAATATGTTTTGGGTAACATTTGTTGGGCAATGCATGCAAGACTTGCCTTGTATTTTTTTGTGCTCTTGTGCGCTTTTATTGCTTTTGCAGGATTACATTATCCATCCAAGCATTCCGAATCTTCAGGTTTTGATTTTTTGAAAGTTGAAGTTGTGAAATTAAGATATAGAGAAATAAGAGAAGACTGCTGACTTTACAAGCACAATACCTATTCTTATTATTAGTTTGCATTTATTTTTTATCTAATCAAACATTCAATACAAAATATGTATACGTTAAGAAGGGATGATAAAACGGGAAATTTTGCTAAAGATAGACAATATGCAGGGTTGCTTTTAATTGTCAATGAGATTTAGACGCTACAATCCACACTAACAGAAAATAAGTCCTGTTGCATAAGTTACCAATTCAAAATAACTAAAAGAATAGCCTAACCTTTTCAACCATTTCCAGCTAATTTCCCCCCAAAAAGAACTACTCATAGCTAGAAAACAGCTAAATTGTCAAAACTGGCTCTAAGCTAAGCCTGTGGCGGATTCTAAGCTGAAACCGTTCTTCTAAAACTAGCTAGGCATAGCTAGAAAATAGCTAAATTGTCAACACAGGCTCTAAACTAAGGGGCCGGGTTCTAAGCTGAAGCCGTTCAGATTTTTCCCACAGCCACAGCGCGTTTGGGCGTTGTAAATGGATTTGTGTGACTGCTGCCGTGGTATATATTCCGAGTATTGAGTATTGAGTGTTGAGTGTTGAGCGTGTCTCACATTCTGGCGCTTTTTTATGACTAACGGCGTCGCCATGACATTAAAAGCCAAGCGATTGTGTCGATCGATTTCAATATTTCATATCCTGTAGTGTTTGGTTCCGCAAACGGTGGCTATAAAAGCGCACAAGCACCGCCCACCCAAATGTGTCTTGAACAAATTGCAGTGGCACTTGGCCTTTCGGCCATACATCAAACGGAGCTGTTCCAAGTTCATTAAGATTTTTAACTGCAGATAGCAGTGCAGGCGTAAGCTTGCTTATTAAGCTGAATAATCTAAACATATTTGAAAAAAAAACTTAGAATTTGGAGCAATTTGTTCTGTTTGTAGTTTATAAGGTAAGTTTGAAGGGAAATTAAGAACAATAATATGTACATGTATATATGTATATGACTCTTCTGTCAAAAAATATTTAAAATATAAATTGTACACTAAAAGGCCGCATGAAAAAATAAAATATTAACTTATTAAATTGCATACAAAATGTATGCATCGAAAACAGATAAGTTAGGGCATTGAAAGTACTTAAAATATTATTAGAAAATATTATTAATATATTTATTCAATTAAGCCCAAAAGTGAGCTTTGTTTTTTGCACAAATACGACCATTTTTAAGACCAGCAATACTTTTAGGCAGCCGAACCAAAAAGTGAAAATGAAAAACGTTAAAAAGAAGAAGTTAAATACTTCTTGCTTGTTACTTATCGGGTTAGTTTAAATAATCATTAAACTTTATTCATGAAATATAACCATCTATAATAATGTATGTGTATATATATATATATATTTGTTTTCAATAAATATGTTGTAATAACATTTAGCACTTAATAAATAACAACATTTGTTCAAATGCCACTTTTAAAACTAAATACTAGTAGAACAATGGATAATTGTTATAATAAAGGGTAAGTACAGCTACAAGTTAAAATAACATGAAATACTTTGCGTATATATATAGTAAATATTTTATATATGTTTTTTGTAGTTTTTGTTAATTTGTTTAACTTGCTGTACAAGCAGTTTGCAATTAGAGTGGGGGAGTCAGATATAAAGATATTGTTTATATGTAATATGAGTTCAAAGTTGGCGAACTCTTTTTGTATATATTTATAACTATTTTATGTGGTAAACAATACTTGGCTGGCATAATTTCAGCAATTATTTTGGGAAAACGTATTCTTTGCTTTCAGTTTTGAATTTGCATTTATTTTACTTTTGGGCATTTTTGACTTTTAGCTGCGCCATGGCACGGATTCAGTAGGACACAAAGGAGCCGGAATTGCGCTTGCGTCCCATGTTGCAGATCTTAAAGTGGCACGGCGACATATCTGTGAGAGTGGCAAAAAATGTCGAAAACATATTAGTAAATAATGTCCAAATCGGTTTAGTATAAGTTTAATCATGCAACACTTACATTGTTTACGAACTATTTTCGAATTACGGGTAATGAAAACATGAAATAAAAAAATAATTTCAATTTGAGGACATTAATCATCAAGCAACATCAAGGCATTTATTTAAATAGATATTTTACTAACTGCGAAGTGTGTCGATAAAAAACCCTTTGCCATTTAAGAAGATATTCTGCGTTTTTATTTTAAGTGAAAACCCAAAAAAAAAACATTTTGATTAATTTTAAATTAAATTGCCATTTAAAATTCAGAAAGAAAACATTCAGAAAGAAAATTTTCGGATAGAAAAACCCTTCAACGGAACGAAGAGTAAGCAAATTGTCAAATATATCTCCCCCATCTATTGACCTCCTCCATCTATTGACTTTCTTGGCTGAGCCCACCCACTCCCCCTGATATCATAATCCAAAGTCTTTAGAGCTAGAGAAACCCCATTTTAAAATGAAGATTACCGATGAACTCTTCTTAAAATCGATTAAAATAGGCAACATCTCCTAATTAGTCTAAAGAATAGCTTTGATTAAGCTCTCATTGAAATGTGAACGAGTGCTATGCAGTCGGTTACACCCGACTGCAATATTCATACTCTTTTTTTTTGACTTGCAGCAATGTCCACTATCTATAACTAACTTTCAAAGTTCAATTCAAATTGGAATATCTAAATCTCCTACTCAATTAAACGCGTATTTCAAACTGTTACTGGAATGTGAACGGGTATTATGCAGTCGGTTAAACCCGACTGCAACAATTATACTCTATTTTTTTTTAAATTGCATCTACTTGTCTACTATATCTACTATATATCTACATTTAAATTTAAAGTCAAGCCCAATTTGACAGCTACTCACATTGCACATTCTTCTTGATGTTATGCTGCTTGGAGCTTGAGCTTAGCTTGAGGCCCTCGCTCTGCTTCTTAGTGGGCACGGCGGACATGTCATCCAGTATATTGTAGTGCGGCTGGTCATCGCCAGCGTCCAAGCCGTCGCCATTATCGCCCAGCCTGTGCAGGCGAGCCAACAACCGGGAGCCCAGCTGGGCACGCTCGCGCTCCACGCTCTCCATGGGCAGCACGGAGTCGTCATCGTAGTCGGCAGTCAGGAGCAGATCACGCAGCGAGGGCCATTTGTTGACAAAGTAGTTGAATGACGGCATTTGTTTTGGCTGCAATTGTTGTTGCTGCTGCTGGTATTTCTGTGGAACAACAGTTGGTTGAAGATATGTCTGATATATGTTTATACTACGTGCATATATACACTGAGAGAAAAGCTGACTTTTTTTTAGAATTTTAGTTACTTAACTTGACTATGTTTACGTTTAAATAATTCACGATTTTATAGTTGAGCGTGAATGTAAAAGAAAAGAGGATAAAATGCACTGAATTAAAAAAAATATAATTTCCAATTATTTGTTGAAGTAGGAAAATACTCAAAATAAGAGATTGTATACTTAAAACAAACTTTATATAATACTTTAAAATATTTTAACTTAAGAAAACCGAAAGAAAAATATAGACCAATTTTCCTAACTTTCAATTATTTTGTTGTTTAAAAGCGTAAGACAATTAAAACAATTTTTAGAAATTAAGAAATCTTGTTAATTTTTGGTGATTTCTTTAAATTTAACGTAAATATATTTTTAATCAGCAACACTTCTTAAGTCCTGTATTTAGAAATTGTTGTTCTCAAAATAAAAATTCAAATTTGCCAACATTTGTTAATTGGTTTCTCTATTAAAAAGGCATGGATTTTTCTTCGAGTGTACATTACGCAGGTGTCCCACTCACCAATTGCTCGCCGTAGTAGGTGTTGTCCTCATTACCCGGCCCGGAGTTGAGCAGCTCATTGAACAACAGTTGCGTTGGCAGTGCACCGACTGTGGGGCGTGGCAGTGCATGTCCAGGCGACAATTGCGACGCAATTGACAGCAACACAATGAGAATGGCCAACTGATGGCCGATAGAGACGCCGCACGTTGCCGCTGACGACGTAGAAGTCATCGTCACGTTGTTGTTTTGCTTCCACCAACTGCAAAGTGGGGAAACAATTTTGTTAGTACGGCTGCCACAAAACAAAAGCCATGTGTGGGTGTGTGTGTGTGTGTGCGGCAGAATTTGTTTTCAAAACTGGCACACAGACAATTAAACAGAGCCAACCCACCCCATTAGGCACGCGCTTACGCAAAAGGGTTTCCTATTACACTTTCCATTCAAGGCAAACAAAGTTGCCAAAGTAAAAATATGCGAAATGTTTTCATATATTTTTTTTTCCAAGTTACAAGTACTTTTGCTGTTCACAGGTTTCATCTGCAGGTGTTGCGTATATCAAACAGTCACGTTGCATTCGCAACGGGTTCTCGGGTTCTCATTTTGCGCATTGCCCAAAAGTATTCAAATGCCAAGGCACTTGGCAGCCTACAAAGCCAACCTGCTCCTACATGCCACAACACCTGCCCAGCCGGTCTGTAGGTCAACTTGCCGAAGGGTGACGGGCTTTGATAGATACTCGTCTGTGCGCGCGACTGTGACGCGGTCTCCGCATGTCCTAATTACCGTTTATGAAATATTAATGCCTAATTATGCTCAAACTCTGACGCGAAAGGTCCTGCTCTGTGGACTGGGTAAACCACTGAATAATGCCTTGTCATTTGTTTAAAGCGTAAAGGACATTAGAGCAAAGTGACTTGCAATAAAAGTTCACAAGAAAAACTTTGATATATAAAACTAAAAAGAAAAAGAAAACTAAACCAAAATTGCAAAAGAAGGCATGATATAATAGAAAAAACCCTCTAAGTACTGGATCATACCAAGACACACACCACGACCAAAATGTCTTCAAAGAAATCGCTTGAAAATCGCCTGAGATTTGACAAAGTTTTGAGAGTCTGAAATCTTAGCAAGAACTTTGCTGGAGGCAGTTTTGGGCAGATGTTGATGATGATAATTCATACAAAGATCCAAATACATCATGATATATTGATTTGATATGGGCCCAATTATGAAGCTGAATCCTCCACCGAATTGAAAAGGTTTCACATATAGTATGCAGCGATCAGCAGATGCCAGATGGCAACATATATGCATAAATAAAGAGCAATTGATGGGCTCTTTTATTCATTTTTATGACTTGCGATAAGCTTTTGCTGACATTTGCATTGACTTACACACTCTGCGTTTGCACTCTATGATTAATGGGCGAATGCGATTCGTAAGACTCGCAAACATAATCAAAGCAAACGCATTTTTATACCTCCCGGAGCTGATAATGCGCCGATGTCGTGGCTAATTTTTCAGCATACGTATAAAATACTATATAAATACGTAGAGATTGTCAGCCCCAGAGATTCATCTCGGTACTATTTCAAAAAAATCGAAGTCAAGGTCTAACGCGTACAAGTTTCAATGAACTTGGATGGGGCAGGCCACGCCCCGTAATTATCTCGGGTCCGGATCGGATATGCGTTTCGCCCATTACAACCGATTAGTGCCAACTATATTTTTGGGCTTGTCGAATATTTATTTGACAGGCGTTTGTTGACGCATTTGCGGCCTGTTGCTAGCGCAGGTGGAAATTGATAAGATATGCGATTTTGATGTGTGGCAAGGAAAGCGTTCAAGTTTTTAATATAACTATAACACGATACTAATATATATCTATATAAGTTAGTTTTGTTCATCAGTTTGGGAAGGGAAATGCGGATGGATCATTAGATACACCAGAGAGTTAGAGAGAGTTACTTAGAGTTTAGTTTTTCGTGAAATAAGCGAGATAAATGTTGCAAGCAGAAAGAAGCACAGCTCTTAGCTTCAGATGCGTGTTAGAACTTTTCTAGAATCCCGAGCTTTTCTCTGGCAATCACCATAAACAAAATTCATTTCATCACATCGCCACTTGTGGTCACTCTGACGTCAGCAAATGATGGTCATATAAATTTGCTCAAATATTCCCAGCTAAAATTTCCCCTGTACAGATTCTATATATGCATATGATTTCATTAAAAACTTTAGTACAATAAACAATAAACAGCTAGCCAATAAAAATTCCTTTAAATATATGTACTATGTATGTCCCCAACTGGGAAGCTCCAGTACAATCCGCATAAATAATCTCGTTATGAACATGTATATAATAATCATAGAAAACTTTTAATGTGACTTCTATAGCTTTTTAAATATCGTCGGGTAATTTACGCATTACAGTTTGTAGAACAAAATACGCGTATACAAATAAAAAACAAATTGTAAATTAAAATTTTATTAACACCCAAACAACTTGAACCGCCAAAGCGGTTCGGTTCCGGAACCACAACTTTTATTTGAAAAGAAGCCAAGTCACCAATAAAAGGTCCAGCAAAAAACCTGAAGGAAACTATTTTCTTTTTAATTTAACTATATTGTATGTTATAATGTTGGAAACATTACTGAGTTTCAGAACATATGAAATTTATAAAAATAAAAATCTCTATATAGAATTTTAACTGATTTTTTTTGCTAATAGTTAAAAAAAAAACAAGTGAAAAGCCAGTTTTCGAACCTCGGTTAATAGATATTAAGAAGCAGGTTCACGAAGAACCAAGAATCTTAAGACGAGGCGTTGGTTCAAACCGAGAACCATAAGGCCAGACGTTGGTCTAAGACGTGAAACTTAATGCGTTGGTTCAAACCGTGAACCGAACCGAGAATTTGTATTTTCTGTTTTACAGCCATGCTTATGTGTCACAGTAGGTATATGAAAGTCGACTCTTGACTTTTAGAACTGACACAAGCTGTCTTTGATGACAATTAAGTACGTCATCAGCGCGTAAAAAAATATCACACGATGCCGAAACCCGAATGCTTATCAAGCAAAAAAGTAGCATCTTCAGACACGCCCTCTTTTATTGAATAGCTTTTTTATATACAATTAGCGGAACTAACCTTTAGTCAAAAGTTATCGCTAATAGTAGAATCGCCCAGCAAAAAATAAAAAAAATATACAACGCAATTGAAATTTGTGCCCTCAATTTTCCAAAATATTTTGTATCACGAGACGTGAATCAGTTTTGCTCAATCTATAAGATAATCTACTACGTACTTTCGATTTTCTACTTGCGCTGATAAGACGACTATGTTAATTTTCAAAAGTAAGCGCAATTTTTTTTTAATAATAAATAAATAAAAAAAAAAAAATAAATAAATAAATCAATTCAAACCGCGCGCTGATAATTGCGAGTGCTTTTGAGTGTCTTGGTGTATGCTCATACAAAATTATGTATGTTTATAAATAAATTAAATACATTTCAAGCATTATCAATGAGCATTTAAATTTCGTAGGCGCCACTCAAATGACCCCAGATTGAATCAATTTCTGAGTGCATTGCACAATAGAAATAAAGTTTGGAATTTAGTTATAGAAAATGCAGAAAATATATATTATAGAGCCTTGGTAAAGATAGAGACTTTTTCCTTCGGGTGTAAATACAGAGCAATACTATTTCAGTCGGGTATAAACGACAGCGTAATACCCCTTCACAGTTTAATAGCTTTCAGGGAAATCAACTTATCAATTTGTCCTAAACCAAGTAGATGAAGGTAAAGTATATTTAGTCTTTAGATCTTAAGTTAGATTGGTGTTTCCCCCTTTACTATTTGCCCAAAAATTTGAAACTTATTGTCTTATGCGGATTCTCATGAGTTTATACACCAAGTTTCTCAGTTTCTAAAGTCAGATGCGACGAAAATATTAAATTCTTAGAACGGATGAATGAACGAGTATAAAAATATATATGTTTCCCATTTTTAAAGACGTTAGTATAGAATTTCCTATAAGATCTTTCGCTTACCTTCCGGAAAACAATCTAAGTGAAACGTAATTCAAGCTCTCTTGCAATTAATTTCAATTTAACACTGCTTTTAACACGCACTGGAAGTTTACTTTTATGTTCTTATTGTTCTTTTCACACAATTTATTTATTTGTTAATTTGTATAATTGTTTTGCGCTTGGCTAAAACTTAACCGTTAGCTGTAACACCGCAGAATAAACGCAAATCCGATGCGCGCATTTGTTTATATAGGCGTTGACAGTGTTGCAGAACGTCGCAAAAAAAGGGTAAATCAACAGGTACAGTACACACACACGCGCACACACACGCAACGCATACAGTTACACGGCACACGACGACGACGACGACACTTTCGACTTCGGCATGTCAAAGTGCCAAATCGGTGGGCGGCCGTCAGTTTCTAGTGCCCGCGAGTGGGCGTCAGGAATTGCTTTCCGCAGTTGCAGTTGTAAATACGCGAACACTTCGAAAAGTTTCAGAGTCACTTTTTGGCTAATGCGAGAGCAATCAAATTGCACGTAATATGATTTTTGGTCGTCTCCTGCAGAGACACAGCTTCACTTGTTCTTAACGCTTTCTCGTATGTTCGCACACTAAACGCGACGAAATTGAATTCGCAAATCGTATGCGGACAGCTTCTATCACTGATCGCTGCTCTGCTCTCCTCCATTCAACCGAATCGAATATATGTCTCGGTCTTGGTCGCGGTTTGAGACCTTCGCTGTACGTTTGCCGTGCCACGCTTTTGACAAATCGCCCGATAAGTCCGAGATTTATGGCATTAGCTATATAGCAGCCGAATGTTACCAAAGTGTGCGCTACACATAATGAGGCGTATCAGTTTTAATATCAAATGCGTACTTGAGTACTATAAAAGTTTTTGTTTTATTTTTTTAAGCTAAACATCACATTTACACAAATTTTCCGCCCCCTGTGTAAATTAAAATTGACCAAAATGAAACTAAACCTAATCGGATGCTAAACAAATGTTTTATGCCATCGTTTTCCCCGAATTTTCCACAATTGCGGGGGGAATTCAGCATAACCCCAATAAGATAAATAGAGTAACCATTTCAGTTTTCTAGCTCTTACGGCTTACTCTATGCGTTATTCAGTCAAACCTACAGTATAATCGGTTATGTATATATGACATAAAACTCAGAGATCCGAATAATGTTTGACTTCAATGCTTCAATGCTTTGTTTCTAAGCGCTGTTTGGATGGCCTCATAAACTACTCCCCTTTTGCGCTTATTAACATTGACCAGCAAACTCTCAAGGTCCTTTGGCCGGTCAACCAACTCTAATGCTTTATTTGAACATAAGTCCTAGATTAATGCTTTAACTTTCCCATCTTGCTACACTAAATAAAATACCCCAATTTCAATTTTAGGTCAATAAACTCGCATTGATATAGCTAGAAATTTGTGAAAGTTAATTAGGTCAATGTCGAAAATATACTTAAAAATAAAGCGGATGTGGAAATAATACAAAACTATTGCAGGATCTGTAGAGTAAAATTTAAAATATATATCACCTACATAAAAACCAAGTCATATTTGAAATATAAATAAGAGGTCTTGCCAAAAATAAAATGGAAAATTACACGAGTATAATTGTAGGCAGGAGATAATTCAATCAACGTTATCTTTTATGCTTCCAAAAAAAATGAACAGACTAATTTTAGACGCCAGTCTTGAATTGAAAAGAAAGTAAGAAATTATGATGAAATATCTTTAAAATATTACAACACAAAATATCAAACATTTCTTCTTAAGATGATGAATTATGTCTCCGATTAATCTTAATCAGACAGATCTTCTAATCTACGCTAGACGTCGTCAGACTTTCTTTCACATTAAACATTTAACTAATTAAAAATATTTTAGCTGACACAGCATTTTTATTTGTCTAAAGAAATTTTTAAAAATTTATAATCATAGCGTGTCTCACATTTGAACCTTTTCACGGATCCGGACAAATTCGCATCGAATGTTATTCCCACCCACGCTTCACGCATTTACATTGCAATAAAATTAATTTTTATGGTTACATCAGCCCCAAAATGTGATTAGGCTAAATGCGGGGTATCTCATCAGTTGTGCGATAAGCGATTTTCGGGAGACAGGACGGGAGGAGACCCTTATGTCATGCAAATAAAACATTAAATACCGAACATATCAGCGCTAATTGACACTTATTAAAAAGAATAGCCGCGACGAGACACAGACTTTGACATCTCTCTTCCTCTCATGCCGGAACAACAATTGCTCGCACACGTGCTGCTTTTGCCGGGCCAATTATCAGCAGCAATCACAATCACAATCACGAGACTTACGACGTGCAGCTTGCACTGCTCGCAATTAAAACAGTTGTGCAAGCAATAATTGATACATGACTCGAACTCAAATATATATAAATATATTATATCATAGATATAATAGATACTTCATTATGAATTATGATATAGTAATGTTATTGTTGCATAGCCGCTCAACAAATTTAAACGCCGCAGCCAATTGGCGCCATTCTGTCAGGCATTAGCCAACACTGCATGCGCTTGCGATAAGGCCGTTACTTTTAAGTGATGACAATATTGTGAACTCGGAGTCACGTCGGCTACTGTGACTTTGCTATACAAATAAAAGCAAAAGCAGCTTTTATTTGGTTTTTTGCTTGCAAATTGTTGTGCTTGACTTAATGTTTACATATGTGCAGGCATTTTCGATAGATTCATTAGATTTTATTAAATGAAAAATACGTTTGTATTGCAACTAATGATCTAGCTACTTAAACATACCCTTTGACAATCAGTTGCCGGCAACACAATGAAAATGGCCAACTGATGGCAGATGGAACCGCCGAACGTGAAAGTCATGGTCACGTTGTTGTTCCGGTTGCTCCAACTGTTAAGTGGGAAAATTTGAATACTCTTGCGAAGTGTATTATACATTTGTCATGAAATGTGAAACATATAGAAGGAGACATAAGGGAGATCCCATAAAGTATATATATTCAAGATCAGCATTAACAGCCGAGTTGATATAACCATGTCAATCTGTCCATCCGTCCGGTTGTCAGCTTCTATGTGAACTAATCTCTCAGTTTTAACGTTATCGCCTTGAAATTTGCACAGGTCCATCTTTATCTTGAAGGCAGTATATTATCGCATCTGGCCAAATCGGAGCACTATATCATATAACTGCGGTAGAAACAAACGGTCGAAATGTAGTTTATTGTGTGAAGAACATTTTTGTTTTTCAACTTATCTAAACTAAACTCGACATTTATTAGTTTTACTAAGCTCCTTACATGTATGCAAAATCCTATCAAAATCGGACCACTATATCATATATATATATCAAGATATCTGGACTTAATCTGAAATGTATTATTTAAACTATACTTTCTATATATGAGCCAAATCTTATCAATATCGCACTACTATATTATGTGGTATACAACTTTAGGAGAAATCGGTCGAAAAATGAGTATTAGTATGGCATAATATTCTGTTTTACAAGATGTTTTCATCAAGCTCAGCATTTAAGCTTCATTATTCTCACATTTATGTGAGAAGCCCGCAAACTAAGTTCCTACAAGGGTAGTTAATCTTCGACATGCCAAAAGTAATCTAACCTTCTCGCTTTAAGTAGGGTGGTCCGAAAACAATTGCCATACAACTAAACAGAGCCAACGCAGTGCAACAACTTTTTTACAATATTTCAGTTTCCAATGAAAAGAAAAAGTGGCCAAGTGTTTGCACACTGTAGACTACTTCTTTCTATTTTCTTTTTCTTTTATGAAATTTTCGAAATTCGCTTTTGACAGGTTTCATTACCAGGTGTTGGGTCACGTTGCTTTCACAGCAATTTTCCTTGCGAAAAACAGACACGTGCCACTTAAAACTTTTCGACTCATTTTGCGAATTTGCTTAAAATATCACTTGACCAACCAGTCTATAGGTCAACTTGCCAAAGGGCAAAGGGGTTAATAGATGCTCGTCTGTGCGTGAAGCGGTCTCAGTACACCCTAATTACCGCTTATGAAATATTAATGTCTAATTATGCTCAACTCCGACGTGAAAGGTCCTCTGAGTAATGCCTTGAAATTTGTTTGAAAGTCGAAGGAGATTGGAGAAAGCGACCTTGCAAAAGTGCTCAAGAAAACTGCACCTAAACTTGCGCACAAATTGCAAATTTGCAAGAATCAATCGTGATAATTAATTAGCTAGAGATAAGAAGCTTAAATGACGTTTGTGCCTTTGCTGTAATTTTATGCTGATATTTAAAAATCATATTAAATTACGTTTTGTATAAAAGCAGAGTCAAGAATTTAAACTTTTTAGAATGCGTAAATTTAGATGGCAAATCTTAAGTAGCAAAGTTTTGGTATCAAATTCCCGTGAAGACACAAAACAGGAAATCTTTATTGAAGATTTGGGAATTTAATAAGTCAAAATTCATATAATTTGTGACACAATTTTTTTACCAAATACATCTCAGAATCTCATTAAAAGATTGCTTTTTATAAAAATATTTTCACACACAATCGACATAAGAATTTTTAAGTTTAAAAATAAAAAAGTTTCTTAAATTGAGAAATGTAACTATTTTTGAATTGAAAAATTTAAAAGCCAAATCATGAGAGATACGCCATGAATTATAAAAATCGCTTCTGTTTAGACACTCTATGAATAATGGGCGAATGCGATTCATAAGACTCGTAAACGTAATCAAATCTATTCATACCCCCCGGAGCTGATAAAGCGCCGATGCCATGGCTAATTTTTCAGCTTACGTATATATACTATGCTATATAAATATAGTATACTACATATACTATATAAATACGTACGTATAAGTACGTATTACTTACGTATGCAGAGATTGTCAGCCCAGAGATTCATCTCGGTACTATTTCAAAAAAATCGAAGTCAAGGTCTAACGCGTACAAGTTTCAATGAACTTGGATGGGGCAGGCCACGCCCCGTAATTATCTCGGGTCCGGATCGGATATGCGTTTCGCCCATTACAACCGATTAGTGCCAACTATATTTTTGGGTTTGTCGAATATTTATTTATTTATTTGACAGGCGATTGTTGACGCCTTTGCGGCGTTTATTCGAAATTAACCTGTTGCTAGCGCAGGTGGAAAATGATAAGATATGCGATTTTGATGTTTGGCAAGATTTCTATATTTATTTATTCAAAAGTCACGAAATGCACCAAAGGGCTTGCAGTCATCTTAATGTTTCATGGGAGATGTATATAAATCCCCACTCTTTTAGGTTTGAAATATCACACGAACCCGAAAACCAAGTCTTATTCATCAATTTCTGACAAGCTTAGGCCTTCTTATTGTGCTCCCAAATTTCGAAAATATTTTGTATCACGAGACTTGAATCAGTTTTACTTGCAGCGTTCCAAACATTTACAAGATAATATACAACGTGATCTACATTTTCTACGTGCGCTGATAAGACGACTATGTTAATTTTCAAAAGTGAGCTTAGATTTTTGTTTAAATAATCAAAAAAAAATTTCTATTTAAATAAATCAATTCAAATTAAGCGCTGATAATTGCGAGTGCTTTTGAGTGTGAGTGTGTGAGCGTGTGTGTGTGCTCATATTAAATTATGTATGTTTATAAATAAAATGAATACATTTCAAGCTTTATCAATGAGCATATAAATTTCTTAGGCGCCACTCAAATGACCCCGGATTGAATCAAATTATACTGCGTGTGTAGTTGACTGAGTAGAAGTGAGTACGTTAGTATATTATTTTAAAATTTATTGAAACCAAATTCAAAAAAGGAAGATGTATTTTACAACACTGTCAAGTTAGCTTGAACACAATTACATTAGCATTCTAAATGTCAAGATTTTAAAATTGGTAAAGAGAATATAATGTATATGTACAAATGGATGTAACAGTCAGAAGGGAGCATCTCCGACCTCATGAAGTATATATACTTTACTATGTTCATTTCGAGAATCTTACGCGGACAGCTTCTATCACTGATCGCTGCTCTGCTCTCCTCCGTTCAGCCGAATCGAATATAAGTCTCGGTCTTGGTCGCGGTTTGAGACCTTCGCTGTACGTTTGCCGTGCCACGCTTTTGACAAATCGCCCGATAAGTCTTAGATTTATGGCATTAGCTTTATAGCAGCCGAATGTTACCAAAGTGTGCGCTACACATAATGAGGCATATCAGTTTTAATAGCAAATGCGTAGTTGAGTAAAATAAAAGATTAGCGGCTCTTCAAGCCGGGAAAATTGAAAGAATGTTAATAAATGAGTTTGAAGCCGAACTGACCAAAATTTAACTAAACTTAATCGGATGGCAAACTGCAAAACTTTCATGCCGTCGTTTTCCCCGACTTTTCCCCAATTACGATTGGAAATCTTAATAGTTTTTAATTATTTTCTATTGCATCGAAAAGTTTGACCTTCAATGCTTTGTTTCTAAAATCTGTTTAGACGGCCTCATAAACTATCCCCCGGTTAGGTTCATTAACATTGACCAGCAAGTTCTCAAGGTAGTTTCGGCGGTCAACCAACTCTGATGCTTAATTTGAACAAAAGTCCTAGATTAATGCTTTAACTTTGCCATCTTGCTACACTTAATAAAATACCCCAATTTCAATTTTAGGTCAATAAACTCGCATTGATATAGCTAGAAATTTGTGAAAGTTAATTAGGTCAATGTCGAAAATATACTTAAAAATAAAGCGGATGTGGAAATAATACAAAACTATTGCAGGATCTGTAGAGTAAAATTTAAAATATATATCACCTACATAAAAACCAAGTCATATTTGAAATATAAATAAGAGGTCTTGCCAAAAATAAAATGGAAAATTACACGAGTATAATTGTAGGCAGGAGATAATTCAATCAACGTTATCTTTTATGCTTCCAAAAAAAATGAACAGACTAATTTTAGACGCCAGTCTTGAATTGAAAAGAAAGTAAGAAATTATGATGAAATATCTTTAAAATATTACAACACAAAATATCAAACATTTCTTCTTAAGATGATGAATTATGTCTCCGATTAATCTTAATCAGACAGATCTTCTAATCTACGCTAGACGTCGTCAGACTTTCTTTCACATTAAACATTTAACTAATTAAAAATATTTTAGCTGACACAGCATTTTTATTTGTCTAAAGAAATTTTTAAAAATTTATAATCATAGCGTGTCTCACATTTGAACCTTTTCACGGATCCGGACAAATTCGCATCGAATGTTATTCCCACCCACGCTTCACGCATTTACATTGCAATAAAATTAATTTTTATGGTTACATCAGCCCCAAAATGTGATTAGGCTAAATGCGGGGTATCTCATCAGTTGTGCGATAAGCGATTTTCGGGAGACAGGACGGGAGGAGACCCTTATGTCATGCAAATAAAACATTAAATACCGAACATATCAGCGCTAATTGACACTTATTAAAAAGAATAGCCGCGACGAGACACAGACTTTGACATCTCTCTTCCTCTCATGCCGGAACAACAATTGCTCGCACACGTGCTGCTTTTGCCGGGCCAATTATCAGCAGCAATCACAATCACAATCACGAGACTTACGACGTGCAGCTTGCACTGCTCGCAATTAAAACAGTTGTGCAGGCAATAATTGATGCATGACTCGAACTCAAATATATATAAATATATACAATAGATATCATGGACACTTAATTATGAATGATGATAAAGCTATGTTGTTGTTGAACTGCCGCTCAACAAATTTGAACGCCGCAGCCAATTGGCGCCAATCAAGCAGGCGTTAGCCAACACTGCTTGCACCTGCGATAAGACCGATACTTATAAGCGATGACAATATTGTGAGCTCGGAGTCACGGGGACGAGTGTGATTTTGGTATACAAATGACTGTGATACCAGGCTGTATTTTGAGTTTCGTGCTAAGAAACGTTTGTTAGTGACTAAATAGTAAATTATTTGCATGGGTTTTCAATTCATTTCGCTGCTATTCACTTTAAAAATACAAATGTGTTGGAAGAAGGGTATCTGGAAGATTAACTGTAACATACCTGTTATCGGTAGCCGGTACATAAATTATCGCACAGACAGGTCCATTATCGGCTGTTCAGCTGTGGCTCTAGAAAGGGGGGGAGAAAAATTAAAAATAAGAAAATCATCATGGCTACATCGACGTTGCAGCTGGAATTTTCACAGGCCATGGCCGATTTCAAGAAGATGTTCCCGGACATTGACCGCGAGGTGATTGAGGCTGTGCTGCGCGCTAATTTGGGTGCTGTGGATCAAACCATCGACCAACTGCTTGCTATGTCAACTGACAACCAGGTACATATGTGTGCGTGTGCTCCTTGTGTGTATGTGTGTGTTTGTTTGTGTATACTAACAGCCTAAACAGCCTACTAACTAACACTAACCGCATGTGTGATTAGAACGAAAAACTGCGCAATGAACTGGATGCTAATGTCTCACCACAACAGAGTCTCATCAATCTCAGCGATTCGGACAGAGAGCTGCGACGCAATCAGCAGCTCGTTGATGCCACAGACGGCGGCACGGAGAGCGGCGCCGCTGCAGCCGCCGCTGCTACTGCTGCTGCTGCTGCCGGCAACACATTGCTAAGCACTGCAACCGCTTCGCCGAATCATCACAATACGGGCGCCTCGCCCAAGCAACGTCCGCTGGGCGCCTCGAATAGGGGCAGCGCCAGCAATACGCCCACCAAGCGCACTCACACCGTTGCATTGTCCAACAGCAGCAGCAGCAACGCTTCTCGACGCTGGAATCCACCAATATTGGGTGCGCTGCCACCGGGATTCTTGCGCGTGGCGCCAGCACCTGGCCAGCAGGACTTTGAGCTGCCCGACGAACAGTTTGCGCTGATGTTGCAGAACGAGGAGTTTATGAATCAGTTGCGATGGAATCAGGACTTTATGAATGCGCTAGAGAAGGAGCAGAGCGGCAAGGCCAAGGGCGAAGATGATGCACCATTCCAAGAGCGGCTCAAGAATATGGGCAAGCTGTCGCGCAAGAAATTCCTACAAATGGCGCGCGTCTTCACCTGGCAGCGCAACAAAAAGGTGACCACCGCCAAACAGATCGATTCGCTGCCCTTGCGCGAGGAGCCCAGCGACGATGAGGATCATCACCATCATCATCAACAGCAGCAGCAGCAGACCCAGCACCAGCAGCAACAGTCGAATCAACAACAACAGAGCCAGGTCCAGCAACAGCAGCAGGGTCAATTGCAGCTGCGCAAGTAAACGCCAGATCTGGATACCAGATGTTTAGACACTAGAGTACCCATTGTTTGTTATCTTATCCTTATTCTTATCATATTATCTCATCTGGCCATAAACGTACGTCAAGGCCATGTGTTTACCTTCAGGCATAAGACAAAACCCGCGCTAGTACTCCCTACTCCCCGTAATCTAAACCCGTTTCACGTAGTAATCTCAAACGAAATCTAACGAAATCTGAAATCTCGCAACAGACGATGCATGTATTATGTATATTTCTAGTTTTAAATGTCGTGTAATAACCAAAAGTGCAATTTTCCAATCCCAAACAATCCCCAGTGCAATATCTCATGTGTATATTTGTTTTTGACTATTATAAATTTATATTATTATTATACTTGTTTATATATTATTATTTTTTTTTTATTCATTTTTTCGTTGTTGCCAAATTAGCGTTAATTAAGTTTTATTGATAATTTTTAAAATGGCAGTTCTTATGCAGAACATTTATAGTTGGACTGATTCTAAATGCGTTAATTAGTAATTGAAGAGCATCGCAGAAAATAAAATATGTACATCTAGAGCACTTGCTAAACTCAAAACTAGTCATAAACACAAGCAAAAAAAAGAAAAGAAAACGAAACTCAATTTATGTACAGCAAAAATATGTATTTGTGCTATCCAAAAACAAAAAAAAAATCCAACTTTCCCCACCCACTCGGAGTTTTTAAAATACGTATAATAATCGCCTGCGCTTAGTTGGCTTCTATTGTCATGCTCCATGGAAAACGGCGGCAAGAAATAAATGTCCATATCAAACTGTTGATATTACAGATACAGCATAAAAAATATACATACATATATGGACATATACCATCCATAGTTTTGGTGGCTATGCAAACATATGCAACTATTTGATTGTAATTGTAATTGTAATTGTATTATAAACCATATTTGAAATACTATTATATTCATATTCCAAGTATAAAATACAGCAAAATATTTGAAAATTCCACGCATGATTCGTATTATTCCTGGTGGGCCAATAAAAGAGTTACTCAAAACTCAAGTGCCTGCAAAACGTTTGCGAATGCGAAACACAAAGCAAAATGAAAAATGCAATTGATTTCAACGTACTTCACTGCAATAGATTTAAGAGTACAAGAAAAATGCTCATTTCTTACATGAATTTATTTAATTTTTATTTTGTTTTTGCTTTTAAATTTTTTTGTTTGTTTTTGTTTTTTTATTATTTTTTATAAACATAATACATTTATTATGGTTACACGTTGGATTCTCTTATGTGTGTGTGTGTGTATATGTTCTCTTTTGACTTTGATTTAAGGGCATATTGGTTACTTGTTACCTGTTACAGCTATTATAAATTGTATATTTAAATTTGTTATTGTTGTTGTTATATAAATTTACTTCGTTTTTGGATTGACACAGACGAATCTCATGTTTCATGCAATAATTTGTTGGGATTTGTTGTAATCGTTAAATATAACAGGATTTGAAATTGTTTTGCAAATCGAAAATTCAACTTTGCATTTAACACTACTGGATGATTTCTTTCTTTCTTTGTGTGTATTGTTTATTGTTTAATTTTAAATGTTGCATTCTCTCTGAGCATGCCGGAGTGTCATGTGTGTGTGTGTATGTGTGAATGGGTGTATGGGTGTGTGCGTGTATATATATGTATGTGTGCAATTGTTTGTTTTTTAATTATGTACTCGCATTTTGTTGTTGTTTGTTTGTTGTTACTTTAACTTACACAGAAATTGATCATTTTTAAACAATTATTTGTAAATTTGTTTTAAACTAATTACTAAAAATGGATTTTCTGTTTGTTTGCAACATTTTGACATCTCATCTTGCATACAATATTTTTATAAAATATGTGATTTTTTTTTTGTTTTGTTTTTGTTTTGTTTCTTGTTTTTCTTGGTTTCTATCAAGTGATTTTTTATAGGCATACAATTGAATTTAGATTTAGGTTTAGCTTAATTTGATTTTCTTTTAAACTTCTTATTGTGTTTGAAGAGCAACGACATTTGTTTATGTGTTTATTTATGGGCCTTCTATGTATATATGTATAGATAAATTTCTTGTATATATTTTTATTGTATGTATGTTATGTGTGTATAAATCGAAAGGGAATTTAATTATGAAATAAAAACAAAATAAATACGAATGTTTTAGTTACGAATGTTTGCTTTTCTTCTGCTTAGAATTTTTGTTGCATAATTTAAAAAAAAAAAACGAACGACAAATATAATTCTTGTTTATAATAATTAATTGTTAATCAGCAAAAATTGCATGGTAATAATAATAATAGTAGTAGTAGTAATAGTATGTAGTAATAATTACAAAGAACTTTGCACAGTTAAAAACATTGTCAGTTAAATGTGTTTTTTTTATTTTTTTTTAATTATTATTTTTTTTGTTTTTTGTATATATTGTATCTTGGTTATTGCAATTTTGACAATCTTAACTTTTCGGGGTTTTGTATGCTTGTTACTTTTAACTTGTTACTTTCCTTCGTTTTTTTTTTTTTTGTTTTTTAATTATTTTTGGAAGTCTTATAGCAGAACACATAGGGACTTTTTCGGTTTCTTTTGTTTCTTTTCGGGTGACTTCTTGTTGATCTGCCTGACCAAATCGTAGAAAATATCATTCACATTCACTTTGGCTTTGGCTGAGGTCTCCATGAACGCGCAATTGAATTGATTGGCCAAACTCTTGCCCAACTCCTTGCCAACGACGCGCTCCTCCTCCAGATCGCATTTATTGCCAACCAGCACCATGGGCACATCGTCCGTATCCTTGACGCGCAATATTTGCTCTCGCAGATCCTGCAGATCATTGAACGTGGATTGCGCCGTTATCGAATAGACGAGCACAAAGCCTTGTCCATTCTTCATATAGAGATCCCGCATTGCTGTAAACTGTTCCGTGCCGGCGGTATCCAATATTTCCAGCATACACTGCTGCCCGTCCACCTCCACCTGTTTGCGATAGCTATCCTCAATGGTGGGATCATATTTTTCCACAAAAATGCATTGCACAAATTGTACAGTTAGAGCGGATTTGCCGACGCCGCCGCTGCCCAAAACAACAATTTTGTATTCACGCATTTTTATATATGTGTGTGTATGGTATGTGCGTGTGTGTGTGTCGAACTATTTATATATGTGTATGCTGGTGTGCGGGTGTGGAGGGGGGGCTTATTTAAAACCAGGCGCTGTTCTTACTGGCGTAGGCGGGTGACGAGGTGGTTCAGTTGTTGCTGCTGCTCTTGTTATTGTTGTTGTTCTTGTTGCAAATGTTTATTTAAAACGCGAACGCGTTCTCTCTCTCTCTCCCTTCCTCTTGCGCTCTCACACTTGCGCTCTCTTTACAGCAGCAGAAAAAAAAAATCACTAGTTTTAGGCGTTGTTCGGCGATTGCTTTTGGGTTGCAGTTGCAGTTCTTGCAGAAAGCTTTTGTTGTTGCTGTTGTTGTTCTTTGTTATTGCTGATAACCTTTGTGCCAACAAACAACTCTATCTGCGTGTGTGTGTCTGTTTGTGGTCTTTCTCTCTCTCTCTCTCTCGCTCTCAGCCTGTGTCTTACTCCGCTCAGGTAGCAAAGGTGCGAGCGTGCGTTTCGTTTTTTGGATGTCGTCAAATTGTTGCTTTTGAGCGGTGCTGGGGGAACAGCGACAATATATATATATATAAAATTACTGAAGCACTAGCCTCTGCCGCCTCTGCCCGCGACGTTAACTACGACAACAACTTCCGTTTTACAGCACCAATTGCTATCTCTGCGGTTGCCGTTGCTGTTGCTGTGCAACAATGTTTGCTGAGTACTCAGTGTGCACTGTGGAATGTAAGAAAGCAATAGTTTGTATTTTAAATATAGGTTGCACTGTAAATTCGATTTTGGTTTTGTTTTTTTTTTTATATTTTTATTTTAGTTTTGGTATGCTGGTGCTTGTGCTGGCACTGCTTATAGGAATTTACTGCACTCTTTATTTCGTTTTTTTTATTTTATTTTTTTTCTTCATTTTTTTGTAATGAACTCGAAATGTTCTCCTCGCTCACTCAGCACAATTGCGCTCTACCCTCAACATTTTTATGATTCATTTTTAGAGTTGTCGAGTAGCGGCGAGATGGCACTGTTGAGCGCCCAACAAACAATGCGCACACTTGTAGCATGCAAATCAAATTTGTTCTTTGTTCAATGAAAAACACTTATAATTGCAGCAATGGATGACAAATGCGCACATAATGTGCTGAGTATACTTTTTCGTATTTGAACACACTAAAACTTTATTATGGGGCAGGGGGTTGGGGCCAGCAGCAGCACCCGCATGTCACGCACACGGCAACTCTATTCGGAGTTTTACCTTGTTTGCTGCGCACAAAAAACTGTTGTTGCTGTCTGTGCAAATTTCACACACGCTTTGCGATCTAGTTTCCGTGTGTATATATGCGTGTACAAGATAATGTGACACGGCTCGCGAAATGTGCAATTTTTTTTTTATTGATAACGAGATATTTAATTCTAAGGCAAACAGATAACTATTTTTCGGCTTAGGCGCTTGTGCTATCTAGCTCGCTCACACGCTGATTCATTTTCAGTGCTGCCACACCTAGCGCTGTATCATTCGTGGCGATAGCTCGATAGCACGGCACACTAGTGGCAATATCAATCGATAAATGTTCCCAAGACTGGCAACATTAACGAATTTTAATACCATTTAATGTTTATACGATTTTAAAAAACTTATATCGGACAGTATACATGGAAAACAATAAATACATTTGTTTAAATTTGTTGTAATAATAATACAGAGAATTTGGGCTTATCAGCCAGTGGCGCTTTATCAACCTAGCTTTTATTTACAACAAACAAAACTAAAACACTAACTAAAATTTCGTATAAAATAAAAAAATTATCGCGAACTCTTAGCGAATTTTAGTGACCATACCGGCGGCAATCGTAACGCCTGCCACACGCAGCATAATGCGTCCCAGCTCCTTGAAGTCCGAGTAGCGTTCAATGCAAATCGGGCGCGAGGTCTCCACTTCGACCAGTGCGCACGAATTTTGGCCCAGACAACGCGGCTTCTTCTTGACCACCTCGCCGGTGCTTTTGTGTATGGATGCGGTCAGCTTGCAGACGACGGCCGGCTCGATGAGCGACTGATGATGCAGCAGCACCGGATAGCCCATGGTAATGGGCACCTTCACATTGAAGACGATAATGCGGCACTGGAAGCGTGTCGTCACTGGGATTGGCATTTGTGGATCACATATGATGCAGCCCACCGTTATGTTGCTTATATCGATGCCGGCCAGTGTTACGGAGATCTGGTCGCCGGCAAAGACGGTCGTCTGCGTCAGTTCGTCCATGCTGAGCGACTTGACCTGCGCCTGTTCCCGGCTAGCGCCCACCAGCACCTTGTCGTTGACACAAAGGGCGCCCGTCTCGATGCGGCCCGAAATGCAAAAGCCGGAGCCGGTGCCCTTGTAAATGTCCGAGACGGACATGCGCAGCGGCCGATCAATGGCTCGTTCGGGCACCTTGAAATGTTCGATGACTTCTAGTAGATTTGGTCCCACATACCAGGCTTTCAGGGCGGGCTCCTGAGCAGCTTTCGTGAGATTCTCGCCCGTTAGGCCCGAGCAGGGAGTGAAACTGACATCCGATTCCTTGAAACCAGCCTGTTTCAGAAACGATTTCAGCTTGTGCACAATCTCCTGGAAACGCTCCTTGGACCAGCCCACCGTGTCCAGCTTGTTGATGACCACGCCCAGTTGATTGACGCCCAGCGAGCGCACCAGTATGGCATGCTCACGTGTTTGTCCGCCCAGCTCAAATCCGGACTCGAATTCGCCACGCGTCGCATCCACGACAAGCAGCGCCACGTCCGCTTGCGTGGCGCCCGAAATCATGTTGGGTATGAAGTCCTTGTGGCCGGGTGCATCCAGCAGCGTGACGATCTTGGTTTTGGTCTCGATGCGCGACTGGCCCACATCCATGGTGATGCCGCGGGCACGCTCCTCTCCGGTCTCGTCCAGCACCCAGGCGTACATGAAGCTCTGCTTGCCCAGCTTCTTAGACTCCTGCTCGTGCTTGTGCATCACCCGCTGCGAAACGTTGCCCGTATCGTAGAGCAGGTGACCCATTAGCGTGCTCTTGCCGGCATCCACGTGCCCAATGACAATCATGTGTATGTGGCTCTTTTGCGACGCCCGCTCCTGTTCGTACAGCTGCTGTGCGTTGCGTTGTGCCTGATCCTTGGATACTTTGAAAATGGTTGTAGAACCGCGTCCTGTCTCGTCGCCGCCGTCGACGGGCGTATTCCGGCCCGAGACATTTGGCGAGGAGGGCGCTTTGGGAGAGGCAATCTCGAAGCCACGTCGTGCATCCTTTACGGCGGACGTTATCTTTGTAGGCGTCGGCTTGGGCGTTGCGTTCGACTTTGTCGCTGGCGTTGTTGCGTTTATTTTCAGCTTCTGTGGACGCTTCTCTTTCTCCTTTTTGTTCGTTTCCTCGTTGAGTATATCGTCGAGAATCTTTTGTATGTCGTAGTCGAAACGCATGGATGTCTCCACGATGCGGCGCTCGGAGACTGCGTCGCCCACCACGCTGCGAACTTCATCCACGCAGGAGCTGAGCTTGGCCTGCGCCATATCGTCCAGTTCCGGCATTTGGAAACTCTCCGAATCTCTGCGAGCCTTTTGGTATGCCTCGTCGTCATCGTCCTCATCGTCATCCTCCGCTTCTTCCTCGATGTTCTTGTTCTTCTTTATAAACGCCGACATACTCTGTTGACCACGAGCCCGGTCGTATAGCCATTGCTGATCTGTAGGCGAGACGCAATCATCATCAACGGAATGGCCATAAACATCGTCGTAGCCATCGTATTCGTCGTTGTAGTCCATTCCGCGTACTATTCTGTGACGCGACATCTTGACGTTTTATTTAATCTCTCTGTATTTTTTCAGTTAAATTTCACAATCATTAACAATAAAAAGAAAAATAGAATTTCATCGAATTGCAGACAACTGAAAGCACTAGAATGTGTAGTTGCCAGATTATTGTGGCTGACTATCTGGCAGCACACTTAATGCTGATGTGCGTGACACACTCAATAGTTGCACAATTAGAGATGGGTGAAGCAATGTTAAATCAATTCAGTGTCCAATGACAAATTTAATATTAAAAACTAAGGTTTAGATTATAGCTACCAATATATTATATGAGAGCATTAATTATTTACGGCCAGCTTATTTGTTATTCAAAAGACAATCAATATTGAATTCATCGTAAGCCGTGCTGCGTGATGCGATAGTTTCTTTATGTGAGTTTTGCGCATCACTAGACTACCCACTCTTCTCCTCCCTGAACATTGTCTTTTGTGTCGCGTAAAATATTAAGAAAAACACTGTGAAAATCGTTACGAAGCAACCAAAAATAAAAACAGCTTAATAACATTCGTTTCAAGGTGGCGCAAAATGCAAGCGACGCAGCACTAAGCGCTCGCTTTTCGAGTCCTCAATTATTGTGAACTAAGCGTATGCAACCTACTTATATTTATTAACAACAACAACAACAGCAACAACAACAAACAGTATGTACAACAACGTCGCACGGGGCTTCTCCATACACGACGCATTCGAGGAGGAGGAAGAGGAGGCGATACGCGTCTATGGCTCCACAGTGATATCGACGCCAATGCGCGGTGGCGTAAGCGGCAGCGCCAAACAAGGTCGCTCCACCGAAGATGTATCCATACGCATACAGGATCCAAAGTAAGTGCCACAAACAAATTAAATAAACGAGTTACCCCGCGACGACAACTGACCGGCCATTTGCTACTCGTACTGGTACTGGTACTGGTTCTTGTGTCTGGGTCTGCGCGTGGGCAGCAGCTGTTTGACTGTTGTTGACACCATTTTGGAGCTGTGATTCAGAACAAGGAAGCGAGAGAGGTGCTTCGTTTGCAGCAGCCATAAACAACTGAATATGGCCTGTTATTATCAGTGTTGCCAAATGTCACATAAAAAACTAACTGTATTCAATGTTAAAAATAGCTATTAAAAAGATGAATAAGCTAAGCTGAGCACAGGTTGAGATGTCAAAAGAAAACTAAATGCATTTAAATTTTAAACTGTTTTTAAAAACAGCCGAATCTGGCCAGAAAAAAGCTGAACTGGCAGCACTGTTTATTATTGCTTTATTTTTTATGGTGCAAGCCAAAATTTTGAACCAGTTTTTTCGTCTTGAATAGGGCCTACAGCCCGTTTTGGAATACAGTGAAAGCTCCCTGGAACGAACCTCCTAGTTTTTTTTCTTACAATAAAACATGCCCTGTTCAAGAATGCTTTCGTGTAACTCAATTGTCAACCGGCTTCAACCAGCTGGTTAGTAAGCTACCCCGACCAAATTTCATCATATGCTGACTCAGAATCAGAAGAAAACCTTACTTTAACTAAAACCGGCTTAATATAAACATGCAATCATCATATAACAATTGCAAATGCAATGCGATGCGCCACTTGTGCCCGCAGCGAAGCATTCCAGCTGCTTGGCCAGGTCTATTAAGCTCTACCTTTACCTTTTGTGGATGCCGCATGTAACTTTCCGCTTCCTTGCCGGAAACGCTAGACGCAGATTTCCATAAATTTCATCGTGTGTGTGCGTGTGTATATAGTGTATATAGATGCCAAAAGCGCGTGCGTGCTTCATTCATTCATATAATATTTACAATTTGTTGGCGCTCTTCTCTATTTACCATTCCATTTGGATGCCATTATGCATGCATGTCGCGCCTCAAGGCACAACGGCAACAACTACGTAATTATGGCGATTTGAGCAGACGTCGTTCGACGTCGGAATCTGTCTGACCAGCGCCTCGCACATGCATCCAGCCCAATTTGGCATTCAATTGTATAAATCATTGCGCATAAATTTCGTCATTCCTTGAAGAATTTTTTCCATTTTTTTTTTTTGCACGACATCCAACACCGAGTTACATGTCTGGCCTTCGGTTGCGGCCGCAGCGGGCTGCACTTGTGCGGCTTCATTGTAATTGAGTAATAAGCACATAAACATTTACAGTGCATGCTCCATTAAATGAACCACCAATATTGCCGTTTCTCGTGTCCTTAAAAGATTGTCGAAGAAATAGCCAAAATAACACAAGAAAATGCTTATACTGGTAAAGAAACGACACGCCGAAGATTAAATACCCTTGTGGACATATTGCTTAGAAGTGCTTAAATACACAGTTTTTTTGATAAGAATTTATAGATATGTTTGGAGAACAGTAAAGATATATGATATAGTTATCCGATTAGTGAGGCTCGTAAATATTTGTATTGTTTATTCCCAATGGCAAAGAGCGTCTGCTTAACAAAGTACTCACTGTTCAAAGAAAAGAGCGTCCGTTTAATAAAGTACACACTGTTAAAAAAGCAAAGAGCGTCCTTTTTACAAGGTACACACGGTTAAAAGAGCAAAGAGCGTCCGCTTAACACGCTGTTAAAATAAATATACAAAATGATTGGAATGTAAAATCTCTGGCTTTCTAAAAGTACGTTGCAAGCAGTTTTCACTGTCTGCTTAGGTGATAGCAAGGAGCGTTCGTTTAACAAAGTACACGGTTGAAAAACAAAGAGCGTCCGCTTAACAAAGTATACGCTGTTAAAAGAACAAAGAGCGTCCGCTTAACAAAGTAAAAGTACTCGCTGTTAAAATAAATATAAAAAAAGATTGGAACGTAAAAATTCTGGCTTTCTAAACGAAACGTACGTTGCAGGCAGCTTTCACTGTATTCTTAGGTGCAAAGTCTCTCAATTTGATAGCAAAGAGCGTCCACTTAACAAAGTACACGCTGTTAAAATAAATATAAAAAATGCTTGGAATGTATAAACTCTGACGTACATTGCAGGCAGCTTTCACTGTATTCTAAGGTGCAATGTCTCCCACTTTGTTCGGCTCCCTGATAAGCAAATTCAATTAAATTCAATTCCGACTGATTTATTTTGCTTAATCTATTCAACAGGGGCTACAACAAGTACGCCGAAGACACAACGTCGCGGGACAGCGACTCGCTGATACAGGAATATGGCAATCTGCCCACGGAGGAGACAAACACATATTGCTGGCGGCATCCGAAGGTGCGCGAAAATTGGCGCACAGTCCTCGCCGCATTCACGCTCCTCGTGGTGGGCACCGGGCTATTTGTGATGGGCACCTTTGCCATTGCCGATCCACACAATACATCGCAGGGTGTTGTATTTTTTGTTGCTGGACTCATTTGCTTTATACCGGGCGCCTATCATGTCGTCTATATATGGCTGGCGGCCAAGGGCTATCGAGGGTTTGACTTTTACCACTTACCTTTGTTTACATAAGCACACACACATATATATATATTTATATTTATACATATATATAATGTAAATGTATGTCGCATTGGTTGATCCAATTTGTATCAGCAAAACGCCCCTAGGCCCCCATGCCCTCCCCTCTGTCTATATACATATTTATATATACAATTATTTTCTATGTATGGTAATTAACTCAGACGTCTTGTGTTTTATGTGTGTCTTGAACGAATTTCAATGAACAAAACCCAAAAAGCAAAAATGATAAACACAAACTAGACAAAAACTCCAATTCGAATCCTAGCCTTAATGTATGTATTTTTTTAAATTAATATTATAATATACTCAAAAACGTTTGGTATACCCTCGAAAGCAGTGTTGCCAATTTAGCTGTTTTCCAGCTGAATTAGCTTATTTTCGCAAGTCAGCAGCCGTTAACGGCTTGAAGCTTCAAACTGATTTAGCTATTTTTCGGCCTCTCAAGGACAAGAACAAGCCAATATTTACTCGAAAAGCTTATTCGGCTATTTTTGAGCTATTTCAACACTGGTTTCAGCTACTTTATTCAATAGACAGCTGGCAACACTGCTCAAAAGTGCAAAGGATACGTATGATAACACTCTCACACACACACACACATTCGAAATTTATTTAAAATACCAACAACAACAAAAAAACGAAAGACTTTGTATATGATGCTAAATGTTGAGCGCGCGTTAGTGTTAAAAACATAACAAAAATTTAAACTGTAATTTATTGAAATTTAATTGCACCAAAAAAACAAAAAGCAAAAATGCTAACGAAATGTTTTACGATTTTCGAACACGAATCTATATATAAATAAATTTATATGTATATGATTAGTAAGCGTCTGTCCGGGACGCAACTTACCTAGTTTATATATATATATATATAGTACAGTAAATATTATTATTTAACAAACTGTCATGAGAAATCTTAAAAAAATAAAACCAAAAGAAATCGATTAGTGATATAAGTAAAAAAAAAACAAGCGCTGATATTGCAATATGTACGTTTTATATAGCTATAAAATTAATGCCCTAATATTTTCTGACCCTAACCAATTCTAACCGTCCTCTAATAAAATTATACACACACACACACACACACGGTCATTAACACACACACACACACACACACATCCAACAGACAACTCATCGAACATCTCACATAAATAGCAAAAGAAATTTATAAAAATCTTTTTTTGATTCCGCATTTTAGTTTTTAATGCTCTATTTTTTTTAAGAATGCTGAATAAGGTTGTAAAGTTCTTTTAAAAAACAAAAAACAAACTAAATAAACGAATTCGATGTGGTTAAATTGAGTACTTAGGCACATTTGTAATGCAACAATTTTTGCATTATACTCAAAATTTTGTACACTAAATTTTAAGCGAGCTTTTGCTTTCGACTTTTGTATTTACTTTCATTTATTGTTGGTTTATTTTTTTAATGCAAATTATATCATTTTTTGAGATTTTATAAATTGTGAATTTGTTTTATTTTTAGCTAACAAAGCGATTTATTTATATTTTTATTTGTGCGTAGACCTCAACTGCGAACCGCAACGTTTTTTTTTTGTTATTTGCAAACAAAACGACGCGGAGAATATGAAAGTAAACCTAATTGGATTACTCTACATTATATATCGCTCATATGTGTATGCCAAATAATGGATTAGAAGTAAAACTAATTGGATTACCAAAGATAATGCTCAGCTATTTGCTAGATGACTTAAGGGACTTAGCATGGTTGGCTAGGAACTCTACGGATCGGATCCCCGTGAAGACAAACTTAAGAGGACTCTGACCCAAGTTAAATATATATCATTTTATGATTTTGATAATAATTAACTAGTAATATGGCCTAAGAGTCATCACACTGAGCACGAAGATCGAACCCCTTAAAGACAAATTTAAAAGACCCCTAAATTTCGTTAAATATATCATTTTGATTCTAACTATTTACCAGGCTTAAAGTCGTCACACAGAACATCAAGTTTAGGGATCGTGTAAAAATTAAATTTACCGAAGTTTAATATATCTTTTTATGATTTTGATTATAATTAACTACCATGGTGGGCTAAGATTCGTCCCACAGAGCAGGAAGTTTAGAGATGGAACCCTTTAAAGACAAACTTAAGAGTTCTCCAACCCGAGCTTATGATTCCGATTATAGTTTAGCTACAATATAATAGCTGTTATATTTTATATAGATACCTTTTGATTTAAATTAACCTTTTAGCTTGCATAATTTTTGCTATCAGTGTCCAAACAAGTTATTTAACTACATGTGATAATACGTAAGCTTTTTATGTCCGTATTTTTTTGCGCACGCCGAAGATTAGTTAACTAAATGAAATGAAATATTTTATCTAACTATTTGCGTTTTTATCATTTGCTGTACATATCTGTTCAGTTATTTAAAGAAAGTTGATAAAAATAAGAAAAAAGAAACGATAAGTATTTTTTCAGAAATTCCCGAAATGCCCCATTAATCAGAGCGCTATCGCATGGATCATACACCTAGGCACCGTGTTGGTTAGGTTGTTTATAGATTTAGTTACTTATATTAAATATGATTGGCAAGGATAATGACAAATCAAATGCATTGACTCGTACGTTGCTCAATACACTGAAAGAATTCAAGGAAAGGCTCTATATATATATAGATATGTATATGGTACATATATGATGTGTACTTATTATATTGGTCTATTGTATTTTTGTAGTTTATGTTTTTTATTAAACGTAGCTCGACTTTGACTTTGACTTCGATGATTAACGATTAAGCTTTAAATGTGGTTAGCCAAGTAAGCCCAATGAAATAAAGTGCATAAAACTACCAGACAAAACCATCTATTATTATAATACCCTGTCATTGAGTGTGAATAGCAAAGGGGTATATTGCAATGATGGGGATGTATGTAAAAGGGAAAAGAAGACAGCGTAAGTATATAAACTCTTGATCAGAATCGACAGCCGAATAGATCTGGGAATTTTGGTCTCTACGAAAGTGCGGATCCCAGGGTATTTGAGAGGTTGATCTACCTTATAAGTTCTCCTACATCACATGCAAATGAAGCTTATTTGAATTGATCGATAACTTCAACTTTGGCCTCGAAATCGATAAATATCACTTGGGAGAATATCTCGGAGATTAAAAGCGCTTCAATCTTAAAATTTGGTATAAAAAAGAAAACTAGAAATCGTTAATTATCAATTGGGAGAATATTTCGGTTATTATAACAGCTACAATCCTACAATCCTGGAATCTCGATTTGGGTACTAGAAATCGATAAACATCAATTGGAAGAATATTTCGGTTATTAAAACAGCTAAAATCCTAAAATTTGGTACATAAAAACTGCTGGAAGCTCGATTTTCGAACTAGAAATCGATTAATATCAATTGGAAGAATATTTCGGATATTATAACAGCTAAAATCCTAAAATTTCGTATATAAAAGAAAACTAGAAATCGATAAATCTCAATTGGTAAAATATCTCGAAGATTATAAGAGCTACTATCCTAAAATTTGGTAGATAATAACTGCTGGAAGCTCAATTTGAGATCTAGAAATCGATAAATATCATTTGCAAGAATATCTCGGAAATTATAACAGCTACAATCCTAAAATGTGGTATATAATAACTGCTGGAAGCTCGATTAGAGAGCTATAAATCAACTAATATCAATCGTGAGAATATCTCGCAGATTATACTACAATTATAAAATTTTGCATATGAAAACTTCTGGAAGCCAGATTTGATAGCTGAAAATGTCATCATAATCTAAATCTAAACATAAAAGAGATTTGAAACTGAAGATCGCGTGTCTGAGTTATGTTACCCTCGGTACAGGGTATCTACCCGTCGAACCATAGAGCACTCTTGTTGTTGTCGACGGCAAAGCAAATTGTCACCAGGCATCGACCAAACAGCGCCAAGCGCCGGCACACAAAGCTGGCCTGGTCGGGGCCTGGCAACGGCGCCAACGAAATAGAGACAGGATATGCATAAAACCATAACCGCAACAGGAGGTGGCTGGGCATATTCCCCAAGTTCATTAGACCCATCGATGGGCCCCGCGCCACAGTTCTTGCTGCTGCTGCTGCTGCTGTCAATGGGTTCCTGTCTGTTGGTGGCGAGTCCCAAGCGTTCAATGGCACGAAATGGAAAGTTTTGCCGCCAAACGCACATAAATCCAGTCTAAAAATAATCAACGCAATCGAAACGCAAATTTCGCAGCAGAGATGTACGAGCCGGAGGCGGAGTCGGACGAGGATTGCGAAGTTTACTGTAAGTAGTTGCCCGTTGTCGTGATTAAATGTCATTCACATGCCGCTTATGCTGGATTACGATGCAGTCCTGAAGCCCGTCAACGAGTACAACATCGTGGACAAGATCAAGGAGGCCAACAAGCAGCTATTTGCGCTGTACGATGACGAAGAGGCGGGCGCTGGCCAAGATCTCAATCCCAATAGCAGCAGCCGCAAGGTGACTTTTGCGCTCAATCTGGAGGATTACGAGCCGACGCCAATGCAGCAGCAGCAGCAGCAGGAGGAGGTAACCAGTCCGCCGGCCGAGCTGCTGCAGCAGTTGGCGCAGCTGAAGCTGAAAACGGAGCGTGGCGAACGCTTTGCGCCCATCGCCGAGGAGGAGCCGGTCCAGGAGCTGGCGAGAGCAGAAGTCGAGCTGCAGCAGGCGGAGCCAGAAGTGGAGGAGGATATATGCGAGGAAATCCTGGAGCTCAGCGAAATGGAAAACAGCAAGAAGCAGCCAGAAACCAGCCAAATCCCGGCCAGTATGGAGTACGAGGAGGATGACTTTTCGGGCGTGGACGAAAACGATCTCCAGGCTGCCAGCGAAACGCTAACCGCAGACATCCAGAAGCATCGCATTGCTCGCCAGAACACATTTGACCTGAACGCTGAAGAAATGCCTGACGATGAGTCGGATCAGAGGAGTCTGACCAATCTGCTCACCGAGTCCGACTGCGAGGAGGATGAGCGCGTCGTGAACGAGGCGCGCATTAAATTGCGCCAGGCCTACAAGAGTCTGTACAAAACGCTGGATGCCAAGGAGCAGGCGCAAATAAATAGATTAACTGGCCAGGACAGCGGGAATGTGGAAGAGGATGACTTGTCCATCATTGTGGCCAGCTATATACCCGACGATTTCGAGCTGGACGAGCGCAGCATTTACTATAAAAAGGATGACGAGACGGCGCAAACGACCAACAACAACAACAACGCGAGCAGGAGCACCAGCACGAAGACCTTCTTTAATGCCCGCCGTTTTAGCTTTAGGCGGCGCGCCAGAGCCACGCCCAGTGCGCCAGTTGCTCCCACGCCCGACATCAAAATGAATTATAAAATCTGCTGCGAGCAGCGGCATGCGCTGCAGGAGAAGCTGCCCCGCTACACCGGCTACATGTCCGAGTATGGGCTGAGCGCGAAGCAGCTGCAGCAACGGGAGCAGCAGCTGCGGCGCAAACAGCGCTTTTCCATGGAGCAGACGCTGAATCGGAACGAGCACGAGCTAAAGAAGTTGCAGGATAATGAGCGTGCCTTTACCACCTGGCTGAAGAACAAGATGCGTTATCCCATCAACAAGACGCGCAACATGTTCGATGCGACGCGAAGGCGCGCCACCGTAGCAGCTGCCGCAATCAGTCCCAATCCTCAGCAGCAACAGCGCCGGGAGCAGCAGCACGAGCAGCTGAGGTCGGGTCGTCGGCGCGACAGCAACGAGGTGCACGCCTATCGCTATCTGCTGGGCAGCTGGAACAAGTAGACGGTATAAACAATAATAAATATACTAGATTTTAAGCTGGCAGGCTTTTCAATGTTCAGTACACTTCAGACTATCTTTAACTAGTTGAGAATTATAAGGAACAAAAATATAACAAAGCGAGCAAAACTAATAACTACTTTTTGTACGTTTATACTGATAGTATGTATACAAAAAAGGAATATTTGATAGTTGATACAGAGAGGAGGGTTTTGAGCTATACAGAAAACCTGCTCACATTTTGGAACTTATATCTCTTTTCCTCCTGGTTATTTTAACCATTATTGACCTCTAGACTGCCAGCTTAAAATTTAGTTTACACTAAAACAGTTCACTAACAACATTTGTCAATAATATATACATTTACGTATTTTAAATTATTTAATTTGTAATACAACATTCATAAATGATGTAAAGGGAAAAAAGATTGGAGAGGTTTTGGGTGACATAGGTTCAACAGTGAAATACAATATGGTTTATATACGGGGACACGGTTTTTATATTGTAAGAGTGTGTCTGTGTGTGTGTGTGTGTGTATGCGTGTCGAGCAATACAATGCCAAAATGTACAGATGTGTGACAGACAAATATTAACCTAAGGTTAAGGTATATTTTGTGTGTTGTGTTTGTGTTTGTGTTCCTGTGCTATTGTAACTACTGTTAGTTGTGTTTTATCCTTAACGCTTCGACTTCTTCGATTTGTGGCCATTGTCTCGACTGTCTTCTCGTGAGCGCTTGCGATCCTTATCCTTGCTGCTGTTTTTGTGTCCCGACGATGAGGAGGAATGATGCTTATCGCGATTATGATACTTATCCTTAGACGATTTCGTTGGGCTTTAAAAAAGACAACAAGTTGATAATCAATTAATTCAAGCATTTCCAAATAAATTGAAGAATTACAATTAAGGGAAATGTGTGTCAAATTTTGAGCAGAATTTCGCATAATTTATGAAGTATTTTTTTTTGTTTTACTAGATATAGAGAATTTCATTGTTAGAAATATATTAAAATAGCGTTCAGTCAGTAAAAAGAAAATAACATTTAAAATACAGTCCAGAATTGCTTTTTTATAGGCTAAACTAATCGGAGAAGTTTAATCTTTTTTCTGGAGACATATTCAGTCAAATTTCAATGAAATCTAATTTTAAATTTATTTTAACAAATGTCGTGCTGCAATGCTTTGACTGATCTATGATCCTATACATATGTGTTCCATTGCCAAGTTCAAGGTCCAACTATTACTCTATAGTTTAATCTGATCTAATCCTTACTGCTTTTCTCTCCCAATCCCAAGTCTATGAAGTATATATATTTTTGATCAGCTTCAACAGTCAAGTCGGTCTTTCGTTTTCATTATAAATGTATCTCTCAATAGAAAAAGCTTTCAGGCAAATTTATAGGTAGTTCTTTCCGTTTCCATCCCAAAATCAAGTCTTTATACATTGTTTAAGAAGATGCCAAGGAACGTCATTATATGCCGACAAAGTCTCTGTTCTAGTAAATATTAATAATAAATTAGATTACTTCATAAATAAATTCCAAAAATTAAATTTTAAACCAATTTTTGATAGTTTTTGGTTGATTGAATTGTTAAATATGAGAGTATTTGTTGTGGATGTGTGTGTGTGTGTGTGTGTATTTGGGTGGGTGTGTGTGTGTGTTTGTGTTGTGAATACGGTAACAAACCTAGATGAGCTGCCATGTTTGGAGCTGGAGGATTTTAAATGTGAAGAAGAGGAGGAATTCGACTTATGCTTTTTACTGTGCGACGATCGCTGCTCCTCACGCTCGCGACGACTGTTTTGTGTGCGTGATGCGGAATAAGTATTAATTAAATAAATAGAGAAGAGAGAGGATACGCTCAGTAGGATTAAGAACTACAAAAATCGTGATCTATATATTACGGGTGCACTCTCTGCACTCGGCATACCTGTGCTTGGAGCTCTTGCTATGCTTCTTCGACTCGAATTTGCCATTGCGCTTATCATCGGTAGCGTAGTCATTGTTGCGATCCTCTTCGGCGGCCTCGCGCTCCAGATCCGACCAGTCCTTGCCAGATTCCTCATCGGAGCCCAACTCTGCAAAGCACAAAAGTTTGAGTTAATAAAATTTTTAAAGTACTTTGTCTGGCATTACCATCGCTGTCGTCGCTTTCATCCTCGGAGGCCTCCGAGTACTCGGAATCATCTTCATCGGTTTCATCATCGGACTCGGCATCTGTTGGATTATAGGCCTCATCCTCCTCCGACTCGGCCGATTCGTTTTCATCCTCGCTGCCCGATTCGGGATCCAAAAATGTCCAGCCGCCCTGTTCGAAGAAGCCTTCGGGGTCATCGGTAATTGTCTTCATAATTTTCTGCCAGTTGAGCGATTGCACGCCCTCCGAATATCGTATGTCGCAGGAGCTGCAAAAATTAAGTAAAGGGTTTGGGTTAAAGACATGAGAGCAATAGCTATGCGGGCTACTCACTTTAACCACTCCTTGACGTGATCCAGCATGTTCATGGGTATGGCATTGACCATGGCCACCTTTTTGTTGTACTCCTTAAACACAAAGATCATGTCAAAGTTGCGCAAATGAAACTGCACGCGCTCAAAGTGCACCAGCTCCACATCGTCCAGCGTGATGACAAATGGCGGCCACTCGGTTAGATTGACCAACGAGCCGGATGTCGGCTGCAGTGTAACCGTGCTGCGGAAGGGCGCTCCGGGGAAACCCAGCTCACGGAAGGGCGTATCGAACTCGACCTGCGCCTTGGTCATGGCCTCAACCTTTTCGCAGAAACTCTTAAACGCGGTCTTCAGTTTGTGGCGCAGCTCGCGTTCCGCCTGCTCGGCAGCCAAATCGTCGCGATCGTGCATATGCTGATGCTTGCCCAGATCTGTGGTTATTTCACCGACCTCCGTGTAGAACTGAACATCCACATGCTTCTTTTTGCCAAACATAATCGCGTATTTGAGATGAAAGTGCAGCAGAATAATCATTTCACCATCGCACGGCTGAAAGAATGCGCTCTTGATGTTGTTGTAGAGGATATCAACCTTGTCGCCGCGCACAGAGATATAGCGGAAGCCATTGGTGTGCGCCTCCAGGCTGCCAGTCATGCGCTTTGTCACAATGTTGGGTCGAATGTACAGATCCTTCAGCTTGGGATTACCCTTGTTTTGGGACAATATGAGCGTATCCTGTTTAACCAAATCCTCCTTTTCACGCTCCTCAGCTTCGCGGGTTTTGAAACGTTTCTGCACCTCTTTAATTAGCCGGAACGCATTGTTCAAATTGGCAGATGGAGCCGCTACCTCGCCGTGCTCCTTGACGTTCGAGCTACGATAGGTGCTGCAAATAACAAATAAAATATTAATATATGAGTTATATAAATCAAGAAGTTGTCTACTTACACCTCCTTGACAAAGGTCGCCTCCGGCTGTGGATAGAGTCCGCCCTCGTTGCGTCCCATGGTGGCGCCCGGATGAAAGAAATTGATGCGCAGATACGTGTACTCGCCCTCCACGGACTGAGATATATTCTTGATGGTGGAAATGTGGAAGGGCACCTGTATGCCAAACACTGGCATTATGACCGTCTCATATTTCTTGTCCACATAGAGTTTTAGCTCCTTGACCTCCGGCTCGCGAGGTATTTGGCTCATGGACTTGTAGGAGACGGTGTTCTTGCGCACTTTCTCCACCTCCTTGGAGTTGCCCTGCTTGGCCAGACGTTCGCGTGCCCGTTCGTTTAGCTGCTGGGCCAGTTCACGTTGATGCTCCTTGCGCTTCTCCTCCGTGTTGATCTCATTGCGCAGCTTGGAATCGAGCACAGCGTTGCGTTTGCTGCGACCCAATATCTCAGTGCTCTGATCCGCTTTGGTGGGCTTCTTGTCATCCGCATCCTCCTCCTCATCGTCATCTTTAATGAATATGCCGACGTTTTTGATTTTCTTCTTGGATGGCGTCATCACACTGGCCGGACCCTGATCACCCACCAGCACCGTGTCGCCTATGAAGAGTGCATAGGTTTTGCCCTCTTTGTCGGCGGCATCGGGATTTGTTAAATTCGAGATGCCCACGTGCAGGTTGAAGACCATATTCTTCTTGATAAGCGCCTGGCATTTGGCACCAATGACAATGGAATTCTCTCGAAATTCCAAGCCCATGGCAAAGCCAAAGCTTTTGGTTAGATTCTCCACCATGCTGGGCTTCTCCTTTTTTACATAGGCCAACGTTTTATCATACACTTCGCAGAGCTTGGCGTTCGGCACCAGCAGCTTGAGTATTTCCTCCTGCACATTTACCAGAAACGTGTAATTCTCCTGCATGGCCTCTGTGGGATTAACCAGAAATGTGCGCGAAATGTTGGAGCAGTAGGATTTGTAGCGCGCGCCCAGCGAGCACACAATCACCCCAAAATGCAAATGATTCTTATCAGCAGCTGCTGAGAATTTCAAACTGTATGCGCCGCCGGACTGAATGATGGGCGGATAGGCCATATCAAGTAATCGTGGATCCAGGCCGCTGGTGTACTTCTTCTCCCCAATAGCTGCCTCGCAGCCGTCCGCGAGCTTCGTGTGCTTTACTTTCTGCAAACAGAATAAACATATTTAAATTATGATGTACAATTTTCTATAACCACGGGCTTACCCTATCCGAATCGATGATGTCCATGATTTCATCCTTCAGATATTTGTTGAATATGTCCATGGAAACCAATGAGGCCTTACGTATATTGTTAATCTCTGCCTCATCCTTAGGGCACATCAGATACGCTATTATGGTGCTAATGTCCACATGCTCAAATTTGGCTGCCGTGAGCATCTTTTTCCACGCTTCGCTAAACTCGCCCGGAAACGCATCCTTGGTGAAAACGCCCAGGCGTTTGCCCTTCTTCGAGTTCTTTATGGTCGTAATGAGTTTATCAAAGTTGGCCTGATCCTTATCATTCTGTGGAGAGAACACGTTTTATTAAGACTGTCAACTGTAAGGGTAGTATTTATGGCAATACTTACACGATCCCGCACGAGTAGCTTTATTTCTG